ATTTTTTATCTTTTTCTTATTTGGATCTTAAAAAATAACTACTAAAAAATTTACACAAAGTAGCTAAACATTTAAAAAATCTATCTTATGTAGCTAATTAAGCAAATAGTATTAATAAAATAATTGATCAAATTGACAATAAAGCTAAACTTGATGAATCTTTAAGTTTGTTTATTGCATGGCTTACAAAAATTGATGACAAACTATTTAAAGTTGAATCATTTAACAACTGTTATGCTGCATTAGCATGCTACTTATGTGAAAATTCTTCTATTCCGAGTAATATTGATAGTTTAAATCCTAAAATCCTCAAGCTATTTGAGATTCCTATGAATGATCCTGAAAAAATTAAATTATACAAGTATCGCCCAAGAATGCCGTTGAAGAAAGCTACAAATAACATTATACTTCAACATCCCAAAAGTGACAAACCGCTTAATTTTACTTTGAATATTTCACTTAATAATTAGTTAATATTTTGTAATATTTTATAATGCCATGAATTATAAAATTTATAACGTTAAAATAAATATATAAAATTGCACAATTTACTTATTCAGGCATTTTAATATTAAAGTCATATGACTTTAATAATAAAATGCCCGAATAAATAAACAACAAAAGTGTTAGTTGTTACATAGGACCCGAACGATAAATACTTATACTCAATTAAATGAATACGAATAAATAGTTAAATATTTATGAACCTGGTGGGTTATTAAATTCACGCGTAATTGAATATTACTACGTGAGTGGTCTATCCACAAATGACCAGGTTTGGATTTCAGGATGGATCCAATCACTACCCCTAGCATGGGCATTAACCTAACTCTAGTATTTAAATTTTATCACACAAGTTTTTAATTTGACATACAACGTATGCATAATTATGCTGAAGATTTTTGTCATTTTTATCAACGGTCTAAATTTTGCTATATTTGATCTAGGTATAAACCAATTTCCTCGACAACCATTTACTCGATACCCATTTCGCCGACGGCCATTTCACCGACAACCTATTTCCCCGACAGCCTGAAACCATTTCCCCGACAACCCATTTCCCCGACAATTCATCTCACCGACTCCCACTTTCCCGAAACCATTTCCCCGACAGCCCATTTCCCGACAATTCATCTCGCCGACAATTGTGGCCCGATTATGGTTAGGGTTGGCCACTTTATAGTTAGTGTTGGCTAGTGATTGTCGGTGAAATGAACTGTCGGGGGTAATGGGCTGTCGTGGAAATAATTTCGGGGAAGTGGGCTGTCAGGGAAATGGGTGTAAGGGCCGCCGGCGAAATGGTTGTCGGGTAAATGGTTGTTGGGGAAATCTACCAAATCTGTTAATTAGGAAATCTTGTAAAGCATCACACATGTAAATGATGGGGCATGTGAAGAGCCGCAGCCCGGCACAACTCCCATTGTGTTATTTCATCTGATTAATAAATTGATCCGAGCGAGAATAATATATGAGAGGTGGTCTAGGGAAATGTCAATCTCCGATTGATCATCAAAATGATTAATAAATGTCACGAATTATCGTGAAATCGGATCATCGTGAAATTTGGATCACCATGTTTAAAATTTTTTGGGGCCTTTTTTGTCGGCTTTTTTTTTATAGTCAAGTTAGGATTTAGGGTTAGAATTATTAATAGAGTATAGGTGGATTTTGGTAGGGTTTATATTTTCAACAAAAAATATATTTGGGGGCATGGCGGCGTCCAATTTATTCTTGATTAATTGTCATTCTTAGCGACTTGATTTTAGTATTGTTGAATATTCAACACATTAACATCTGTGTTAGCATTTTAATCGATCGAGCATCTTGATAACCCAAATTTAACTACATGTCTAAATTCAGTGCCTATTTATATTAGCTAATTATAAACTATATACTTACCAAACAATATAAATTAACTATTTAACATTAAACATCTAATTACAATATTTCAACTTGATGAATATTTGTTTACATGTGTTATTAGGCTGTCAATCTTGTCCTAGACAAAGAGTGCTCTCAAGCGTATTCCTCAATGAGATTTACTAATGGTCGTGATTAGGGATTGGAATCGGTTTAGTCGACTAAAAATCCGTATACTAAACTACTATGTTTAGTCGACTAATTAGTTGATTAAACATAATAGTCGACTAAGCTGATTCCAATCCCTAGTCGTGATCGTACACAGTTAATTGAAGTAATCTTTATAGCAATTTTGCTAAAGATTTATGGTGCGAAATGCGGATATTAAATTTTGGCCAATCAGTACAACTCTGATAAAAAAAATGGTCGAGACCAGGGCAAAAAATACCTACTTATTTGCCGGCCACTCAAAAGTATCATTTTTGATTCACATATACCAAGTCCGATTAGCTAAAAAAAATTAACATAGTCAATTATTGTATCAATTAAATACATACACTTCTAAATCGGATGTATCAAAAAAGACACTTTAAACAATGGGCATCGGCGCAGTAAATGGCCGGTAAATAAGTAGGTATTTTTTGCCCTGATTGCGACCATCTTTTTTTCATTGCGATGATGGACTCGCTTGACTGGCTGAACTATTTTTTACTAATTAAAAATTGAGCTCCGATCTACTAATTCAGGTGCTTGAGATTACCCAAAGTAGAGATTAGATTATGCAAAACATAATGTCGCATAATGTAATGTAGACATTTTAAAATTTAAAAGTGCAAATAGAAATTACTATATAATTTTAATGCAACAAAAATTAATAAAATATTATATTTTATATCATATGTAAT